TAATGAATAGTAATTTATTGAGATTATTTTTAGGATAAAGTATTCAAGAATTCGATTAATTTAATTTTTATGATAGTGACTAGCATTGATGGATTAATTTGATGATTCAAATTCATATATTGAAAATTATCGTTATTGCAGAATTCTTAATAATACTTGTTCTCAATAAATGATTAATTTGAATTTAATAAAATATTAAATTCAATTAATTTTAATTCAATTAAATCGACAAGTGAACAAAAGCTTGTAATAATAAATGGAAGAAATTGATGATATGAAGATGATAATGATAATGCTGGTGTTAATAATTGTAATGATAACCTTGACGTATCAAACTTCAAGGTCAATTTTTGATAATTTATTTAAATGAATTAATCAATATTGATTGGTTTTATTGTTTTAAAAGTTTTACGATCATAAAAATTATTAGGATCAATAATTATTTCACAATTTTATGCATATTCCTATATTTATATTTAATCATTTGCTGTTATACATTTTAAATTAAATTCGAGTTTAAATAAATTTAATTAAACTTTTAAATTAGCGAAATAATTCGATTAAATTAGTAAAAGAAAAAATTGAAATATTTGGAAAAAATATGAAATAAAATATAGATAATGGATGAAATTTATGCATTGTGATAATTTTTTTTCCATTAAAAAGAAATCATTTTACTTATATAATAATACTCAATCTTAATCAATTAATCTAATCATTATTATCGGTCTTGTATGGTCAATTAAAATTTTTATTGCTTCTTTTTTTTAATGATCCATTCAATGAGATTGATTGATGTATTATTTTGAAATGAAAATTTATAAATTGTTTATAATATTTTATTTATTGATTTTCTTTTTTTTTTTAAATCAAAATAATCAATTAAAAAATGTTAAATAAGTATTTTAAGGAACAACATTACAAGTTTTAATTTTAGGAAAAGAAACATTAATAGGAAATATTTTTAAAAATGTTTTTAATTTTTCATTTAATTTTTGCTTTCATTTTTTCTTTCTTTTTTTTTTCAAAAATTTTTATTTTTAAAAACAGTAATTTTTCTTTTTCCTCTTTTTTCTTTTTTTATCAATTTCTTCAATAAATTGATGTAATTTGTAGCAACAGGAAAAGGAAAGTTTTTTTAAAAGAAATGATTATTTCCTTTTTTTGGAAATTTATTTTATGAAATCAAATTAAATTTATTTTTCGCGAAGTAAATTTTTCTTTATTGAATTTTTCTTTGCTTATGAAAATTCTATCATTTAGTAAAAAAGAAAAAGTAAAAATTAGTAAGGAATGAGAATTTTCTTGTTTTTTTTTTTGTTTTTATTTTTTTTATTTCTTCATTTTTCTTTTATTTTTACATACATATTGAAAATTCCTTTCGATGAAAAGCCATTAGTTAAATTATATTATGATATGATTAAATGGAATGATTTACAAGATATCTGCTGCGATTTTCATTTGAGATTTTCATGAATGTTGCATAAGCGAATTACTGATAAAAATTATGAAGGTAAAAAGAAATAATACACATATTACTTATTTTTATCATTCCAGGCTACCCAATATATAGCCATTATTTGTGATATTGCAATCACCATATTTAATAATAAAACGTTGCTTGGTTTGTAGCAAAACTGGGATATTTTGAGTATATCACTTTGCCATCCAGTATTACTGCATCGTATGGATATAGATTGATAAAGATGATGTGAAATATTTTTCTAAAAAAAAAGATGATACAGATGAAATAACTACAGTATTTAACAATATACATTTTAAAATGATCAATGAGCTAATAAATAATACATATTTTGATCAAATAAATAAAATGTATAAGTAAAGGTGTAGTTAAAATAAATGTTATATAATTAAAATTTTAATTTAATGCTAATAAAAGAGATAATATTTTTCAGAGACAAAAATACATTCCTAACATAATTTATTGGCTACATTTGAATTTTTTGTTTATAAGAAAAGGAAGAAGAGACTATAGTTATTAATTTATTAACGGTTTAAGATAAACAAAAAGAAAACTTCAAATTAAATCTACCTATGATAAGTTTGAAATAATCGCGCTTATTTCGCTAATTGATTTATCGGATCAAATTATTAATAGTCAAAAATATGGAGTAATTTTTGTCAATTAAAGAAAAAACCAAGGTGAAAAAAATAAGAAAGCTAAATTATGCATAAAATATCGAAACATTTCCCGATGCATGAGATGTTCTGTTGCATAGCGTCATATGCTAATTGTAGATTCTGTTTTTGTATAATAATATGACACTAGGATAAAAGAGATAATTATTTTCCAGTACTTTATCAATTTTAGATCATTCAGCTATTTCAAAAAAAAAAGCAAAAAGAAAAAACACTTTTAAATGGTTTTTAAACAAAATGTTATCAAAGTTTAATTTCAGTTTTTGGCAGTAGCAATCTTCCATGCTTGGGTACATTTCATCGGGTTTTATTCATATTCAACACGGGAACAAATTTATCGTGCTGCATTCTTGCGTGCAAGAAATGCATTTGCTGCAGAAGAACGGTCTATTCAGGAAAATACTAGGCTCGTAAGTTTTTACATTCAAATCTTTTTTCTTCCTTTTTCTTTTCTTGTCCTCATCAAGTTTACTTTCACATTTTACATTTCTATTTTCATTTTCTTATAATTAGGTGTATTTGTAGTTCCTTAAACTGAAATTTTGTGTTTCGAGAAATTTCTTAAATTAAGTAACCTTCTAGAGATTCATTTTCTTTTCCGGCGAGAAATTGTAGGGAATAATTTGGAATGTTTTAAAAAGTTTTCTTATATACTTGGGAAAGTTACATTTTTATCCATTTATTTTTATAATTTAGTTAGTATGATGTCAAGAAAAGTTGAACAAATTTGCAATCTTTCGAATAAAGCAATTGAATTTAATGTTGAAAAACTTTTTTAGATTTTAAATTAAATATGTCTTTTTTTTCTTCCTAAAAAAAAAAGTTACCAAGAAAATTGCTCCGTTACTTGACATCTTCCAGAAATAGTAGTTTTTTTTTTTTACTAAATCTTAGGAAAAAATTCTAAAATAAGCTTATTAATTAAAAAAATTCCAAAACTTAAAGAAATCATGAGATTTAAATGAGAAAAAATGATAATATGCTAAAAAGATTTATTACATTTCTACATAGAAGCAGTAGCAGCAGCCACTTTTTGGTTAAAAATTTTAGCAAAATGAAGTAAAAAAAAGAAAAAAAATTTAAACTGTAAAAGAGATTTTATGAATTTTTCTTCCTCACAGAATTAATCACTTTTACATCCTGTATGACAAATATAATTCATTCGAAAAGGAAATGAAACGAAAAACTTGATATTATTTTATTATATTCAGCTCATTTAATCTTCGATTTTAACCAAAAAAAAAAAATAAAATAAAATATAATAAATGCCAAGAAAAAGTTACAAATGAAAAATGATTCATTCCTATATGTACATCACCATCAATCATTCATCATTTTATATATTCGGTGTAATGGGAGAAAGAAGGAGCAAAGTTCAAAATGGAAAAAATTGAAAATTATGAAAAGTTAATTGGTTAATGAACAATTAAATCTGGAACTAATTTGTATTAAATATAGTGGAATTATTATGTTTAGGAATTAATATGTGATAAATATTGTCAAAAGGTTAGGTTGGAATTAACTTGTAATAAATATATTCAAAAGGTGTTAAGTTACTCTGAAACCGGAATGCTTATCTGTTTCATTTTAAGCTTCACTCCGAATTATAATCAATAATTTCATTTTGGATTAGATGCATCATTTTGATAAGATTTGTTTAAATTTGATTGAATGAAATACTCGTAATATTGTCTCAAATTTCCACTTCATCTTTTCCGGTTTTCCCCAGAGAATACATTAATCAATCAGATGTCAGTATTTCCAAATGATTTAAGTGTTATTACGACATGAGTAACAAATATTTATTGTTATAACAATATTGTCACACAATATTATCATAAAATAAATAATGTGTATAATAATGGAAAAATCATGAAGAATAATTGAAAAAATATATTTACATTTCATTTTTATGTGGATTAAATATTTTTTTTTCTGATTCATGTAAATGTTGCAAAATACATGTAATTGGATAGCAGTAAATTAACGGATGAATAAATGGAAACGAAATATAAATTATAAGTTTCTAAATTATATTACAGTATTATATTGCAGATGGATTTATTGCAAACTGCAGTACCACCACATTTAGTGCATACAGCACGTCAACAATTTGCCAAATCTCCGCCAACAATATACACGGAACATTATAATCAAACTAGGTTTGCATATCATTTTGTTATTTTTTTTACTTATCTTTAAGTTTTCATTTCAAAACTTGAAAATGCAACTTTGAAACTTTTTTTTTTATTTCAGTTGAAATTTTGCTTACAAATATTACTGATATTATAAGTAGCTATGTTACTAATGATTTTTCTTAAAATAAGCCAAAGTGTTTAATTTTTTTTCCTTTTCTTTTTTCTTCTTAGAAATTTCCAATATTACTGCACACTTTTTCTTGGTCTATAAATTATAAACAATTTGGAATTAATTTCAATTAATGGTATAGTTAGATTTCATTTGTTATCAGTAATAATTATCATGCATTATCATATTCAGAAAATCAATAAATGATAACTTATGCTTATATTATTTCATGAATATGTTATAATATCAGCAAAAGAAATGTATTAATAAATTACAGCGTTGTATATTGTCGCTTGGTTGGTTTGGAAGATATCTTGTCATGCTGTAGTGCGCAAGATTCAGCGCAATTGTTGAATGAATTTAACGCTCGAATTGATCAAATTATCAAAGTAAACATTATTTTTTCTTAACTAACGTTCAAACAAAATGATCACTCTTTATGTTTGATTCTTTCTTTTTTCTTTTTTCTTTTTTCATTTTGCACATTGATGTTAAATTCAATTACGCATCTTTAATTAAATTACAATTTTTATTAGATCCCATTAAATTACTAATTTTTCTAAATGATTATTTATATTTTCGAAAAGAATTTAGCAATGGGAAATTGTTATTGATGAGAAAAAATTCCTATCCGGAAAAAAATTTGTTAATTATTAATAAGCGTCGGTTTTGCGTGAATAAATTGATTTACACAAATAGTTTAAATAAGTAAATTAAAATTCAAATACTTAAAAAAAGTTTTTCCAACATTAACTCAAATTCGTTGAAATATTTATTGATTTTAAAAAAAAGAAGGTAACGAAAATTATTAAAATTTTGGAAGAGCCTTTTTTTTGCCGAAATATTTTTTGTTAGAAAGATTTTGTTTTGTTCTCTTTTTTCATTTTCTTTGTTGTTGTTAATATAAGCTTTGAGGGGTATTTTAGACTTCAAAAACAAAAAATGAAAAAGTAACTTCATAAACTGATATCTTTTCCTTGTGGCTTGATTTTAACAACTATGTTAAAAAAAAAAAAAAAAAGGAAGGAGGAAATCAATCAGGAAAAAAGGAAAAGAGAGGGAGAGGAAGGAAAAAGTAAAATGAAAAAAGGAAAAAGGAAGAAAGATTAATCCCTCTAATTAATTGTTAATTTTTATTTTCTGCAATTTTTTTCAATTTACAAAGTATTGAAAAAAGAACCAAAAATGCAATATTATGCAAATTTGTTAATTAGATATCTTTCCTCATTATATATTTCCAAAGTGTCAATAACAATTGTAAAAGGATGATTGTAAAAGTAAGGAGAAGAAAAAAAAGATGTGAAATTTTACGGGTGGAAGCAGCTGTTGGATAAAAGTTATATTGTTTCGGAAGGAAGAAAGGAGAAAAGGAAGGAAAGAAAGAAGAAAAAAAGAGATTCGGAAAAGATTTCAGGAAATGACTAGTGAGATTTTCCAACTGGCAAAAAGAATTTTAATTTTTTCTTCCTTTTTTTTTTTGGAAACAAATAAATAAAAAAAAGGAACAAAAATTGTTAAGGGACCAGCTGTTTAATAATTGTCTTAAATTATAATGAATGAATAAGATTTTTATTAAACCAAAAATTACGAAGTAAAAAAGTTTTTTAAAAAATTTAAATTAATATTTAAAATTAAAGTTTTGTTTAATGTTCAACTGAAATATTGAAAATTAAGCTAAATTATATACAGGATACCTCGAAAGGGAAATAAAAATGAATCATTTATGTGATGATGAATTTAATTGATTAATTAATTTATTCTTTTTTTGCAGCTAAAAATTCATCACATTGCCTTATTATCGGTATAACTGTATTAACAATAAAAGGAAACATTAAAATATATTTGTTATTACTTAATTTTTTTGAAAAATATAATTTGAAAGTAATGCCTACAAATTTGGAGTCATCCAAAAATTCAAATTAACCATGATTTCTCAATTTCCAATTAAATACTTTCATTTCTCCAATTTATAGCAAGGAAAGCAATAGATTATTTATTGTGAGAAAAAAAAAAATACAAATTAAAACTTTCTCAATAATCCGAGAATAGACAGAATAGAATAAATAAAATGATGGCTAATTTGTGTTACTTGACAAAACATCAAAGTCATATAAATGAAGGTTGAAAATATCTGCTTTATTACATTTTAAATTTAAATTAAAATAGAGAATTTGAGCATTTAAACGGATTCTATTTTATATTCTAATTTTGACAAATTTTTATGACTGTTAAATTTCACAATTTTCTTACAATAAAATCTATATGAGAAGAAAATGAAATAAAACGAACAAATAATTGAATAAATGAATAAATCAATCAATAACTGAAGAAATGACTAAAATGAATGGATTGGATAATGTGTTTTATGTTAATGTCATTGTCACATAATACATTATCATTGATGATTTACCTTTGGTTTCGTCTTTTATTTCGCTCTGCTACTCTTTCCCATTAACAAAAACCATTTTTAATTGTGATAAATTTGTTTAATGGATGATTTTTTAGTGAGAATTTTAACAGTAGAATAGGGAATTGGAAAAAAAAGTGGAAAATGGGTTAAGTATTAAAATGAATTAAATGATTTGTTTAATAAAATTGTCACACAAATATGCTAACAATTTTTAAATTTAAAAGATAAAAATTTAATTATTTGGAAAAATATTTTGAGGATTCGAATTTTTTTTTTTGTTTGAATGCAAAATTTGTACTGTAATATTTATCAATTTCTTAATTAATATTGTTTAGCTTACGCAAATTATTTTCTAATTATCATTACGAATGATATGGTTTAGAACGAAAAGAATAAAAATTTTTTAATAGTAAAAAAAAAAAAATGAAGTAAATCTTCTTAAGATGAAAATAAGTAATAACTGATTACTGATATTAATAGTATGCAATAAGAAGTAAACAGATAACTATAAAGTGAACAAAATGGATAGAGCATTGATGAAAAGAAGGAGAAGTAAAATAGTGAAAAAAGAAGAAACTAAATAGTTAAGTATTAAAGTTTGTTGTAGAAATGTGGTTGTATTCGCTTGCAATCCGATGGTATTCTGGTAATCTCAGGTATACCAGCAGCACGAGATGATCATCTTAAGAATGCAATTGCTTTTGCATGCGATTTACAAGCACTTATAAGGTTAGTTTTTGAGTGATTTATTTCAGGATTTTTTAATTTCATTTCTTACTGGTTGCATGCATGAGTGTATTTTTGTTTTGTTTTCTTTTTTTATATTGAAAATTATTGATTGCTAATAAATGTCCCAATTTTTTCCAGAAGTTTTTGCGATGCAACAATTGTGGATTTGCAATTGCGTTGTGGAATTGAATGTGGTTCCGTATCATGTGGAATATTTGGTTTAACAAAATGGCATTATGATGCAATTGGATATCCGATAGAAGAAGCTGTTAACACTGAACGTATCGCTCCAGAAAGGTATTTATTCGTCATTTTATGCAAAAACAAAAATTACAAACCATTATACATATCAGGTTTTAATTCAATAATACATATATTGCTATGAGAGAATCTGCATTATCGTTAATCTTATACCATTTTTAAATCATTTACCATTACTATGTTCCATTGTAATTATCAAATTAAATTCGTTAATTTAACCATCTGTTCGTCATCTATTATTTTTTATGTTAGCATTAATGATAAAAGTTTGCTTACTTTTTGTCTTCTTCATTTCAAACAAAAAGTTTTAGTCATCAAAAAAAAAATATATTTCAGTGGAATATACGTTGCAGAAGCAGCAAAACGTCAAGCTGAATGCAATTTTCGATTTGAAAAATGTGGACAACTTTGGCGGATTGCAAATGATCAACATCATTATGGTAACAGCAGTTTACCATCATCAATACTGTTCCCGAATTTGAAACGATTTTCATTAGTTACAGTACCACAAGCAATTAACAGGCTACTACAAACAATATCATCAGCCAATGATACTTTACTCAAAAATAATACTACAATGGGTGGACGTCGCAAAAGGTTTGATTTGTGATTTTATTTTTGCTCTTTTTTTTAATCACTTTAATTATGACTGAAATAGTGATATATGCAAAATAAATAGCATATTAAACAAGTCAAATATAACAATGGCACAAAAAATTTAGTAGCTTAATTTTGCAATGAAATAAATTTTGATTGGACGTTAAAAAAACATTACGAAAAAGAATTATTGAACATAAAAAAAATGAAGTGAAGTTAGAATTTTACAATTTTTAAATAAATTCCGAAAAATTTAATTAAATTAAGGACAATATTGCAGACGAATGGACAAACTGGCATTAATAAATGGGAAAAAAAATACTGACAAAGATAACAACGGCAGAAGTGTAATGCATAGTTGGTTATTAAAATTTCGAAATCATCAAATGGAAAAAGCGGTCAGTTTGTTTATTAATTAATCAAGCATTTGATTTAGATACATTCGACAAGCTCATTCAAGATTTATCATTTCAATTTTTTGCCTATCCTTCATTTTCTAGAAAATTTTGGTGAATCAAACCATTTTTAAATTTTGTTACAGCACAATATAACAATAAACAATAAACAATAAACAATATAACAATAAAGAAATAAATAAGTGATTTTTTTTAAACCATCATTCTTGATTTAAACTCAGATATTAACTTAAATCCATGCGTTAATATTTATTTTACCATTTTACTTCACTTTTCATATCAACAAAATTAACATGGCCAATGAAATTTAACGATACTTTAAAATATTTTTATCCATTTCAGTATCAGGTGCAATTTGATCAATGGTTTGTACCAGCATTAGCTATTAATATATTTTTCCTCGTTATTTATGGTATTTATCATGTTTTAGTTTTGCCAAGGTTAGTTTGATATATGACATATATAATTAGTGCGATAATAATAATTCTTTGTTGCACATTGTGGTAGGAATTATTTCAGGCAAATTTCAACGCTTATCATGATTATCATATCATTGGCTATCATTTTTATGATATTACTTACACTTTACGCAAATTTCTTCCAAGTATGTTTGTAACAATCAAATATTCAATTACAACTATCATTATTGGCATAGCAAGTTAACTATGAAAACAATAATTCACAGCACAACGAATGAAAATGTGCAATTTTGAAATGAACTCAAAAGCGATTTGTTTCGAAATAGAAAGCTAAATAATGACAACATAATTAATCACTCGAATCAATTGTAATAATTTAATCAAAGAAAAAGAGACGAAATATAATATTCTTTTAAAACCATTATCGACCGACGAATCATTTCTTGTAATCATTTATAATAATAATAACAATAGTAATAATAATAATGTAATAATGACAATAATAGTACTAATAATAATAATAATAATAATTAATAATTAATAATAATAATAATAATAATAATAATAACAATAATAGT